CTGCTTCCACATGAGGCTTCCTCAGTCCAAACTGACCCCCACCGTCCCAAGGAACAGCAGAAGCTCTGAGTCTGACACTGCAACGCTTAAAGCTGCAGCCACGCGTCGCATTTGACTCAGCGTAGAAGCTCACAGATGGTCGCAGGGACCATGGAAATATGGCCAGCGGTATTCGCCTCATTGGCAAACAAACAAAAACATCTCACCCTCCACCACATGCACCGCATCGCAAACTTATCGCCAGTTCCACACCATGCCCGTTGACACACATTTGACACACACGCACAAATCACACGAGGCTCCGACAGACTATAGTTATCCTCTACGCACGCTTTGTCCACCGTCACATATCCAGCCGGGGCAAAGAACAGATCCCCGCACTTGCTTGTCGAGGAAGTGAGGCTGGGTAGCTCTGTGGGCGACGGGAGGTCCTCCAAACTCAGCCGGAGCAGCCAGTTGACCACATCCTCGACGCTCGGATCCAGCTCTTGCCTTTGCAGGTAAGACCTTGCCTCAGCCAGTCTCACCATGACAAACACGCGGGCGCCTTGGCGCTGCAAACGCAATGAGGCGAAGCATGATGTCTCCACTCCGTGGTAGCAGCTGCCGTGCCGTTGTCCGTGCACAAAGGCTGCCTGAGAGAACGCGCAAATGTACTTGCTCTCTTCCTCACTCAGCTGGGCTGGGCCGTCTGTTTGGAACATGTCCTCCGGAACAAACGGCCACTCCGACGGCCCGGGTAGAGCGCTCAAGAGCTCGGATCTGACGATTGCGCAGGCCTCCTCTTCGAGTTTGATCTGCCCTTTCGCTTGAGCCCGCTCAGACATGGACTCCCGGAAATTGTCAATCAATCCCTCAACCAGCTCTCTGTTAGCCTCCTCCTTGAACAAGGTCTTCATGATGTTCCTGACGCACACAACGGGCTATCTGCGGGCAACTGACACATGAAGCCAACCCCTGGGTCCGACATCATGAAAACTGACAAAAAACATTTGATTTAAAGGCTATGATGAATGGTCTGCTCCCTCGGGTCCAAATCCTCGAAGGTCTTCACAATGCTGACCGGAGCCCGCTTTTCAAGGTTACGGTGAATTTTGATCACCGCGGGATCACTCGTGGAAGCCATGCTGCTCAATCGCGTTTTGGCCTTGGGTGGATCAGCGGCGGCACCCTGCTGGTTTTGATGCCGGAGCCGTTCAGACGTCAAAGTGGTTTGCACGGCGCTTGCGTAGTCTTTGCCTCCCTTGGTCAAAGCCTTCACAGCAGTGGCATAAATGGCCAACAGCTTCTTTGCAAGGCTCATGCCTGATTCGATGCAAGCCTTTGGGTCGTAGTCAGCACCAGCGTCTGCGCTTGGGACCCTTTTCATAAGAAAGGCATTCAAATCCAGCAGCGCTCGCACTGGCACCAGATCATCATCAGGGGGCAAGTCATCGAAGTAACCTGCGGACCTTGGGCACGCCCGCTAAACCGTGCTGATGCCCATGCAGTTTCAAAATCCACCACTGCTTATCGCAAAATAGAAATGCGTGAGAAAACAACAACATGCAGCGACTTCTCTGCCAAGGCACACCACCAAGTCGCGCAAGGGCCGTTTCTCACCCGAGCGCTTCATCTTCTGCAGCACCTGCATGCCAGGAAGGTCGAAGTCGATGGCCCCCTCACCAATCATCGCCTGCACCAGCACAAGTCTCTGCACGTACTGAAAAGCACACTTGTAAAGGCTCTTGCGCGGGCCGAGGTGATGCGGGTCCTCCCCGCTCAAGAGCCAACCGGTCACGGTTGCCTCCACAACGCCATCGGACACCATAGCGCAAAACTTCCTTATGTGCACAACCATGGCACTATATATGGCACTGGAAACAACATGGACTGAACATATAGTTCAAACGGTCAAAAAGTCAGCCTAGTAAAACCGAGCGTCTCAGTCAGCCCGGGGGGCGTGTCAAGCGCCCGGATGCCCTTTTCCAAGGCAGCCTTCATGTTGCTCATGCAGGCCTCGACCCTTGGCAAGAACCCAGTGGCCTTTTGCAAAGCGAGCTGCTCCACATTGACAATGGCAGGAACCTTTGAGGCGGCGCCTTTCTTGACTTGTGGCGTGCGCCCACCTGATCCAGCGGATGCGCCGGCGCCACCTCCCCGATTGCGACCCACTCGTTGCAAAGGAACAGCCCCATCATCATCGAAAGAAAGCGACAATCGAGGAGCGCTTGTTGTGGCCGTCAGGAAACTTGCGTCAGCCTGTGGTTCCTGGGGGGGAACTGTAAGTGAGAGTGAGCCATCGCTGGGGCCCGCTGGCAACATTGCAAACAAAAATGGAAACTATAGAAACTTGAGAAGCAAAACCAAGCCGAGTCCTCTTGGGCAAATCGTTCCGCAACAGCTTGCCGAAAGGATGCTGCGGGGTGTCTGGCCGATGCCTCCTGGGTTGTGGTTTCATCACGGGCCCGCACTTGCTGTCTCCTCTTGTTCTCCTCCATAATCACATGAACCCGAGTAAATGTTTCTTCTTTGCGGCTCTTGGGATTGAAGAGCACCTTCTCTGATTTGTTCACAGAGGGGTCACCTATAAGGCGGTGCCATTCTGACAGGGCTTCGGCTTCTGAGAGGTTGAAAGGAGGAGCCAGTTGTTTCTTGTGCCGCACAAACTCTCCCATCAGCACCACCTCCTGCATATCCACCCTGGATTTCCTCAACGAGACCGCGTGGGAAAGCACGTCAAACTGTGCGGCCTTTCCCTGCGTGGCCTTCTTGTCCCTGAAAGCACGGACCGTCTGAATCCACACGTCATGGTCATTCTTCTTCATTTCCTCAGTTGGGACCAGCTGCACAAAGGGCCTGGGCCTGGAAATAAAAAGGTAACTGTTGGAACCTTTACTTGACTGAAGAGTTCAAAATGATGGCCTTGGACAAGTAAGTTTCTGTCATCCTCTCCATGGTCCCCTGCGTTTTGCAAGCGGCATCAAAGGCCCGTTTGGCGTAGCCGTCCTCCACACAGAAGTTCCTCGCAAGGTGCAGTCTGGCCGCACGGTCTTGCTCCTGACAGCCAACTTGGACGACCAACTCAGGATCTTTTTGTGGAGCCCAGTGGGTCAACAATTACTCAACAATAAACATTTAGCCACACAATGACCACACAATACTCACAGAAAAAATGGTCCTGCTTCGTCAGCGGCTTCTTGCAGATCTCGCATGATCCTGTTGATGCCTCAGCATCAGGCGCCGCTCCTACAAGCTCATCCTGAGCCTCATGAGCAGCCATGGCCATGGCAGCAAGGCAAGCGCTGATTCCAAGTGCATGTGGTGCTGCTATGCCAGTTCTGCCTTGTCCGCCTGCTAGAGCCATGTCATCATGTCCAAGTTGCCCGCCCTGCTAGAGCCAATCGCAATCGGTCTCATAATCTCAACTCAACTCAAATGTCACCAGTTCAAACTGATTCAGGTCATCAGCACCCATGCGTCTGTCAGGCCAACAATTCGGATCAAGGTGAGCAAATTTCGATTCACCAAGTTTTGCACAATTCCGCGTATCACCGTCAATGCCAATTCTTGTCTGGCAATGCGCTGGAGCTCCAGCGCGAGCACAACCCACGAGTGACTCTTGGGTTCTTATTGTGGGGAGTGGGGAGGCATGGGCATTTCAATGCATGTGATGGTCGCTGTCGTTCGCTGGGCAATGCTGGCGCTTCAAAAAGGAGCCTGCGCAAACAGTCTAATCTGAACAGTCTTCGGGGGCACCCAGCCCGTCGTCTTCAATGGGTCCAACGGGCTGAAGGTTGCAGAGCACAAATCCTACGAAAGACCCTGCACATGCTACGTGAAACGCATTGCCTGCCATGCGTGTCAAGGCATGTTGACCTACATCGGCACAGACCGGGGCCACTGGCAAACCAGACGCCTGCACTTGGGGGTCAAATACGGGAACGCCCTGCGCTGCAAGAAGTTCTTGCGCAAGCAGCAGGCGTCCTTGCTGCGTTGACCAAATCACAGACTTGGTCAACAAACATGGAGCAAAATGCCCTGCGCGCCCGCTGAACTCGACGTTCTGTGTCAAGTTGATGAGGACTTCCCGGCCACTATTTACCATCTTGGCAATCCGCTCATTGGTGTGGTACTGTTCCAGCCTCACCTGAGTCAGCAGTCAGTCACAACTAAATCGCGGTCTATCCGATATCCAAGTCCCTGTAAGGTAAAGTGAAAGAGGGGCTACCCCTCACAAACCTAAGAAGCTTCATCTAGCCGGAATTTGCCACACAAAGCAAAAACAAAACCAAATGAAAAGTCGGGGCGACACAACTCTGTGACATGAGAAAAGCACAAGTGCCACGCGCGCCAGGATGCTTTGAGCGAGGCCGGGAGCAGATCATAGAACGTGCCCTGCAGCATCTGGCGGGAGCACAAACGTTTCCGCTCAGCTTCCACCTCGGCGCGGCTGCGAACCCGTGGAATGTTGTATTCACTCAACCCCCCCCCCCCCCGCAAAATAAATAAAGGGAACACAATTGTAGTTGCAAGCGCAAGGCGCCACATCATCTGGGGCACAAAGCAGCTGACCCCCATCAAAATCAGGCGCCCTATCAAGGATCTTGATGTCCTCAATGGTTCGGACCAGCTCCATGTCCAGCCTGATGCACGCGGTGTACCTCCTTGTACGTTGGATCGGGAACCCCCGCTCAGTGGGCCGCTGGATCATTGAATGCACCCGGTAGCCAGGGAGAAACTTCTCCAGGATTGACGCCCTGAAGTTTCTCGTGCACTCATGAAAGTACACATGTGGGCGCTTCCTCCGGATTAGTTGCAACTCCACCGCAAACGGAAGCACAGTCTTGCCCGCCAATGACAGCACCTGCGACATGGCAAGAGGTCCCGGCCATGTAGATGAGCAAAGGGTCCGTCAGCTTTGCCACCCCCGTCACCTGTGCCACACGCTCGCTGTCGGTCTGCAAGAGAGCGGCCGGGAACACATCGCACTTTTTCGAGTGATGCTTGCAACAAGTCGCCTGCTCCACAAAAAGGTTCTCGAATGCATCCATGCGGGCCATGAGCTTGTCCAGCAAAGTGCTCCCCAGTTGGTTAATGACCTTCTTGATATCATCCTTCGTCTACGGGGCATCGCCGGGTGCATCACTACACGCGGCAGCCCGTTGCTTGCCACGCACCGGCTGGGGCATCTTGGGCATGGCCTTGTACTTGGCGATGAGCGGCTTCAACTCCAGGCTCGAGGTGTCCATGACTTTCAGCACAGCCACGCGCGCGTCCAGCGTCAGCAACTGCAGCAAATCAGGGAACACATGCAGGGCGCCGTCCTCATTTGAGCACAGCACTCGCTGGCAGTTCTTGTCGATGTCAACCGAATGGCCAACGATTCCTCGGACCCAACCCGGGCAAAGATCTGGCGCTCGGTCAGACACGGCTGCCTCAAGCATCGCCTTGCTGTGCTCCATGCCCCCCATACCACCTTGGACAAAGAACAAACACACGGGGGAGCAGGGGGCTGGCTGTCGGTTGAAATCAATAAGAACAACCAAGCAAAGCGACAAAAAAGAGGGAACAAACAAATCATCAATCAAAACTGCCTGGTCACTGTATTGCGACATCCAAACCGCGTTGTGTGTGTTTCGCAGCAGGGTGGACACGGCCGCCTGACCGTAGTTTGCCTCGCACTGCTCTACCAGCCAAAAGTTCCAGCGGAAGGATTCAACCATATTGGGCGACAAAGCCTGCCCCGCGCCAGACGGCGCCCGTTTCCTCTTCAGCTTGCCAGTGGCTCTCGCTTTGGTCTGCCCACCAATGTCGCAGTCCGCAAACATGTCGTCCACACGGAATCTGGCATCGCCTGGCGCAACCATTCATGTGGCAAGGGTGGAATCGAACCGCCAAGTCAGACACCAGTTGGGGACCAGTCGTCGCGGACCTGTCGCGGACCCGTCGCGGACCTGTCGCGGACCTGTCGCGGACCTGTCGCGGACCTGTCGCGGACCCGTCGCGGACCTGTCGCGGACCCGTCGCGGACCTGTCGCGGACCCGTCGCGGACCTGTCGCGGACCTGTCGCGGACCCGTCGCGGACCCGTCGCGGACCTGTCGCGGACCTGTCGCGGACCCGTCGCGGACCCGTCGCGGACCCGTCGCGGACCTGTCGCGGACCTGTCGCGGACCTGTTGGGAAACATTCGGGGGGGTTGTGGTGCCCATACCAGTACCAGTCTGGATAAAGGAATTCGACAAATGCTGCCCGAGGACATCAAAACACAGATCAAATGGAAAAACACAAAATGAAACGGAAAATTGAAAAAAACACGTAAAAACCTGACGATCAGTAGGGGATCTGTCGCGGACCATGGTTCGGGGGGGGGGGAAAAAATGTAGAAAAGGCTGATTCTAGGGGGTGGGGGGTAGATGGTTGCCTGTTCTGTTTTTTATTTCACATTTCAACACGTGTACCACCTTATCCGTTTTTGAAAGGCTGATTTTGGGGGCATGAAATAACGATATGGATGTGGTAACGAATTGATGATTTGGTCCCCTGTCTCGTTCCAGATTTCAACTTTTAGTTTTATTGATTGAAAGAGGATAGGACTTTCTGCGGTTTCACGGGTTGGCTTTTGGGTGGGTCTTCTGGTTTGTCATTTAATGAAATGTTTATAGATTAAAAGTTCACTATAATTATAACATATAACAATATAAATGATATAATTATGGTTTAGTTATGAATTACACAGGTTCATCAACAATTAGTTTAAACCTTATGTTTTGTACTCCTCCAAAATTCATTCTACTTCTTTCATCATCAATACATCTGTATATTGTTTGATGTGCCTCTATCATTACTTCGGTTATATTATCTATGGTTATATTATCTACAAAATCATCACTATGAAAATGAAAACTAAAAGTGTTAAAATGGTTGTCTTCATAATTGAAATGATGTCTTACAAAATATTTACCTCAACTATTAACGTTACTTCATAACCTTCATCGTCTACAATACCATCTAACAAACAATCTAAGTTTTCAGTTTCATTAAAAACTATATCTTCAATGTGTTTAATGCTGAAAGGTATAATTCTTGAAATGTAATACTTAATTATGTGTCTCTTGAAATCATCACCACCTACAACAGTGCAGTGCTTTGTCTTTCTTTTTGTTTCAGTTCTTTCAAATTTATATCGCTGTTGTATTCTCTTTAATGTCTCAATATGATTATGTTTTATATTCAAATACTCAGGTCCCCCTAATTTAAATGAAATTATATGTTTTTAATACATCAACAGGTAAGTTAGAACAATTCTCACTCATTGTCTCTTATTATATTATACTAATTCTTCTTCAAGTAGTTTTTAGCTGGGGGTTTCAGGTTTCATTTAAATGCGTTGTTAGATTATAAAACTATGTTGTAATCATATTATAGTTATAGAATAATATGATTAAACCTGCTTTCAGTGTTTCCAGTCTCCTATGTTGTTCCAAGAACTGCTTAAGATGTTTCTGAGATTATACCAGATTAAGTTAACGTCATAATCTTTCATTGGTGCTCTTTGTTGTATTAAATAACGCAACACTGATATCAAAGTATAATAATTAAAATGCATTGTTGTCATTCCTCCTCTTTCGTTAATACTATTACCATTATGTTTAACGAGTTCTTCTTTCATTATGTCTTCGTAAATCTCTTTTATCCATTGATGATTTTGTTCTCCATACTCGGCGAACATATCTAGATATATATATATTCCATTGTTTTATCGTTTTTAATTATTTCAATGACTTGTTTATACGATGGATAGGGATTATCCTTTATGAAACTCAATATTATCTTTCTATCCTGTTCCAGCTCTTTTTCTGTCACTCCTATCATTGGCATTTCACTTCTTAATATTATAAGTTAATATTTCTTTAAGTCGTTCTTTACTGATATTGTTAGATGTGACTTCGTTTTTCATGTTGGTATTATGGAAAGTTGAACCCCGCCCCCCGGAGTACAATTCACATTGTGTCATTACAAATCCCAATTTTGAGGATTTCAACCCTTCAACCACAAGGATTTGAAAATCCCAAATCACAGGAACTGAAATCCCAAATCTCGGGATTTGAAATCCCGAATCCCGGGATTCGGGATTACTCAGTTCATTCCTCGAATAATTCTAATAGTTTAATATTATTGGAATTACTTAGATACTGATATGTTTAATTATATTCATTATTTTCATTATCATTTGATTTATTTGATTGACACATCTTAGTCTTTGATGTCTGCTTAATTTGCTTTTGCGACCTACTGCTCCACAGAACTTCGCCCACATACTTTACACATTCTGCTTGTTTTGTTCAAGAATTTGTTCTCTATTTATTTGGTAATATTCTTTTCTATGTTGTTTATATTCTTCTTTATTGTTTTGATACCATTCTTTCATTCCGTTCTTTATTTTCTCTTGGTTAAGTGTATTATACATTTCTTTGTATTCTTTTGGCGTTCTACCTGCCACACAACGATTAACACATTCTGTATTTTGGATATGATATCCTTCTCGTCGAATGTAGTATGCTCTTTACTATCACAGGGTTAGTGCTCAATGAGGTTCTATCTTACAGTTATCAACCAACCCCGTATTCGTCAATCAACACTCTAGAATTTGAATGTTTGTTTCGCCGTGGCTGTTCATTGAAATTTTTAATATTTCTGCCTATGTCTTGCCATCCTTTGGCTTAGTTCCTCACAAGTGCCTTACCTAATAACACTTTTCATAACCAACATCAGTACTATTTTGCTAAAATTTACCGTTCTTATATCTTTCCATATCTGTTAATAATCTTTGTAAAAATCTTTTGCTTTAATTAATGTTTATCCTGAATGTATAATTGACCTAGGGCAAAGAATTAAAAGCATCAAAATAATGTCTTTTATTCTCGAAATTACTTAGACTCTGTTTGACTTGAGACATTGAATAAATCTGATGTGTTTTGCTCCTGATGAAGTTGTAGGTGATTTCATGCTTTTTGTTTTGATGCAGTGCTTCGTGGTAGTTCTGATAGGTCAGTTCCTTCTTCACCTTGTGCTTGACGACACCCTTTGATTTCTTGTGTTCTTCATCCTCGCCGTGGATTGTGAAAGCATAGGATTTAGGCTTCAACCCGATGAATCTAGTAATGATTTTTCCGTTGACTTCATCTTTGAACATTCCTAAGACCTTCTTATTTGTTGTGTCGTGACACGGATGTTCAACAGGATAATCGCTAAAATCCATATGTTGCTTGATACCTTGAAAATCCTTGTAGACATCATCAGTCATTGTTTGAATTACATAACTGTCAGTATCGGAATATATCAATTTGATATTTTCGTTGTATTTCTTTTTCAACACACCATAGTAAAACTCATACATATGTCATTTACTTAAATCAAGAATGGTCATTCCTAAAAATATAGGTTTGTCTAACTTCAACACTGATTTTGTTTTCTCCACTCCTACCAGATTTTCATTAATGATAAATCTACTTTTGAATGTTGGATTATTCACACATTTTCATACCTAGCATCATTATCTACCAGTTCAAAATCCATATGTTTTCTTTTATCCTCCATAGTTTTTCCATACACCGCGTTATTCATTAATTTAAATAAATCTTTCTCAAAATCACTTTTTGCTTCCTTCCTCTTACCATTGTTAAAGTCAATCCACGGTTTCAACCATGCCCTCTGTTGAAATTTTATTATCCTATGAGCCTTGGTGAGTTTCATACTCATTTTTAGATAATACTGTAAAGTCTTGATATGTACCACATATTTTTCTTTATCTTTTAAATATAATATTAACTTGCTGGTTTCCTCGTCCTTCGGTTCTTTGTTTCCGTAGTAGATTTTGTAGATTTCCTTTTGATAGTCTGACAACAGATTAGCATTGACATTCATGATTTCCGGTGCTAGTGGATAGTCCGAATGATAATTGTGTAGTGTTTCTGGATATTCCAAACCCACTTCAAGGATGAAACCGTATTCATCTTTTTCATCCCACTTTTCAATGTTAGGTGTTTTCTTTGTCCATTTGATGTTCTTTAAAGGCAATTTTTGAGACATCGCCAGACCATACAAATTGTTAGCGTCTAAGTAATTGATATAACTTGATGGCTTGCTTTCATCAAAGGCTTCGTCCATATGCTTATTGTTTGCCACAGCCAGTTTATGACTGACCTGGCACATACCTCCTCTCATTCCCTTTTCAACCATCTCATACATTTCTTCATTGTGCAACTGCTCAATTTCAACACCCGTTTTCAACAACATAGCTTCCCAAGCGAAGTTAGGAAGCGTATAATAATGAGCGGGGTCCAAACCGTAGTATTCCCTACAAAAATCTCTAAAATTTTCAAAAA